CTCACCCCCCACCCCCCCCACACTCCCGGGTGTGCCCTCTGCATCATCCTGGTGCACCTCTCCTGGTGCCCCTTCCCCTGCCCAGGGACTGCCCCATCCCCACCTTCCTTCCGTTTCATCTCATGCTGGGTTCCCGCCACACAGGGCCGAGCCTTGTGGCCAGCTGGAGTCTGGACCTTGGCCCATAAGGAGCAGTCACTCTGCAAACACTGCTCTGAGTGTCTCTGGCACACTGGTTGTGCACACGCAGACCTTTGGGCTCCTCTCCAGCCCTGGTCCCAGCTCCCGATAACCTGCCTCTCCTGTCTGGGTTTCAGATCAAATCCCAACAGAGCGAAGTGATCAGAATCCTTGATGGGAAAAATATCAAATACGAGTTGGTGGATATCTCCCAGGACAACGCTCTTCGGGAGGAAATGAGGGCCAAGGCAGGCAACCCCAAAGCCATCCCGCCCCAGATTGTCAACGGAGACCACTACTGCGGGGTAAGGCGCGAGCTCTGTGCTTGGGAATAGGCACCATGAAACCTGGATGACAGGGAACAATCCTGTCTCCTTGCTTCTGCTACAAACGGAGTGTCAAGATGCCTTTCAAAACACATTTCTGATGAGGTGCACAGTCAAGGCACTCTCTGGGTTATCATGCTCTTGGAGCACAGTGGCTTGTAAAAAAAAATGCTGCCAGGACCATCACCGTGAGAGCTGGGTGACCCATGGGAGGTAGGGCTGTGCTGGACAGGGCTGTCCATGCTTAGCCCTGTCATTGTCTGCCTGAATGATTGACGCCCGAGCTGTGAACCAGTTTGTGCTGGGTGCTCAGGGGATCCTGCGCTGCCTGCCTGGAGGGGAGTCTGTGGCATGCCAGGCTTTTGAGCTGTGCGCTTCTTGCTTTGTGAGCAACCGTCTGGCTTCTCTCTGCAGGATTATGAGCTCTTTGTGGAAGCGGTGGAACAAAACACCCTGCAAGAGTTCTTGAAGCTGGCCTGAGCCCTGGGTTCCCCTCCCGTCCTGGACTCTATCTGCATTCCTGAGTGCCCTCATCTCAACCACCTTCACTTCCAGGTTGTCAGTGCTGTCCTGGCACCGTGACCTGTATCCCAGCACAGGGAAACCCATGACCAAAACTATCATTGCAGCTGTCTACGATTCCCTCCCACCTAACCCTGCTATCATCTCAGAGGGATCCAAAGAAAGTCTGATGCTCGCTGTGCATCGCCTTTGAACAAAGCTGGGCCTGGCTCACAACGCAGCTTCCGGTGCCTCTGTAAACAGCAAAGCCTCTCGGGCTGTGCGAAGTGCAGTTGTCCATCAGCCCTCTCCTCTACAGGGAGAGCTTCTGCTTTAGAAGGGAAGGGCTTAGGGCTGCATGTTACTTCCCACTCCTCATGGTTGCTGTTAAAAGTATAAATCCTGCTGCCTCACTTCCTTTTCATCTCAACTGCAGAGATTATGGCAACTAAGTTGATTTTTTTGGTTTGTTTAAATTCAATGCAGAAATACTGCACAAAGGTGGGGTCTGACTGGCCACCATGGAGCAGGCAAGGGCTGGGAGCGTAAGGCTCATGTCACTCAACAGGCAGCTTTGGTGGGGACAGACGGGCCTAGCACTGGGACTCGTGCTGCTCCATTAGTGCCCTCTGCTCTGATGTGGTGTGAGGGCTCCCTCCTGAGCATTAATGGCTCAAGGCTGCTCCAAAACAGCTGATGCTCCAGCTGTCTTATCTTTCTTTTTTGAGTTGGCTTTTTGCAACCTGGACCAAGTGCATTTTTGTTTTCCTGCCAAAAAAGCAAGTTTATAACCAGTGTTGTCTTCCAATATGCTATTAAATGTTACTGTACCTTTCACATTGGTACTTGTGGGCTTCTTTTACATTGGTTTTATTTTGACTACAGGCTTAACATCATCCTACATAACAATTCTGAGTCAGTTCCAGCTTGGAGGAGCTGAGTCAGTTGCACTCATTGCTGCAGCCTGACATAAAGACCTTAACTCCTTAGATCGCTGTTGCTAATCAGAGGCTTGCAGGACTTGCCAGAATATCCTACAGTTCAGTAGTGACAGTTAACCTCTCTCAGGTGGTCCTCTCCTGTGCCTAGTAAGAACAGCAGTTTTGGGGAGGGACAGCTTCAGCCAGACACACGAGCAAAAGACAAGCCCAAAAATTACCTGGTTGGGTATAGACTGGCTCACAGCTGAGGGGCGATGGGAAAGGCTGCCCTATAGCAGGGTTCCCTGTGTGCTCCTATGCCTGTTACAGCTGGCAAAAGGAGAAAACTAACTCACAGCTGCAGGGATCAAGTCACTGGTCATGGGAGCCTGCAGAAGTGGCTGGCACACACTAGCGGCCATTTCCTGTATTTGAGCTGTGCGCAGCCCAACTGCAGTCAGAGGGGTTATGGTGAAGCTAAGCCAGGAAGTGCTGTGGGCATCTTCTCCTCTTCCAGGGCTAACTACTGCTTTGAAACTTAATGTAAGTGGAAACTGCTACTAAGTGCTTCTTGGGAGTCTTTAATGAGGGCTGGGTGGCGGCGTGTGCTGGGCCACTGCTAAGAAGGAACCTGCCAGAAGGTGCTGCCTCACGCAAGTGGGAGTGTCATCAGCTGGGAGTCAAGTGGGAACTCGTCATAGCTGAAACGGGAAGAATGTGCTGGGAAAGGGGCCCACAGAGCACGGCCCCGGCCCATGGGAGAGGGAGGGAGATGTTTTGCTGGGGATTGAGCAAAGAAGAGTCGAAGGGATTATGCTCTCCAATGACATGGTGTCCTGTTGCAGCAGCGTAGCTCCCGGATGCAGCAGGCTGCCGGGGGAGGAAGGGCAGCCCAGTTCAGCGCTGCTGTGTGCTGGCTCGGCACGGCTGTGGGCTGTGAGCCTCAGCCCCACTGGATCTGGGGGCTGTCCAAGGGACGGAGTTGTTCACGTACAGGAAACCCAGTAGCAGGATCTCCTAGCTGAAATGAGCCTGGCTCAGTCCCAGCATTACAATGGCTTGAGGCCTTGTGGTTTAGCTTTACCAGTGAACGTATAACTGAGCCTGTTTCTCTCCTGGTGTAAGTGCAGTTGAAATCTCTGGGGAGCAGCTGTGTGTGGAAAGCAGATTGACCCTGGCTGTTTGTCTGTCCTGCCCAGATGCGATTGCTGCTAGAGAATCCCTGAGCCCAGCTAAGTAACTGCCTGGTACTGGTATAAAGCTGGCAGCCTTTCCTGAGCAGAGATCAGCCGATATAACCTTCAACCGAGGTGAGCAACTAGGCCTCTGGTTTGAGCTCTACCTGACAGAAATGCCCCAGTGTGTAAGGAGCCCACCTGTCTTGGGGGAAAATACCTGCCTGCAAGGCAGCAGGACTGGGCCTGGCATGTGGCACCTCTGCTGAAGGGAGAGGCCAAACCGATGCCTCGGAGCTCTCCTCTCTGCCCCAGGTAATCGTGCTATGAAACTAAATCTAGAAAGACAACCCTCTCCTCTCTATTCCCAGCTTGGGGAGAGGTTATAATTTGGCTAACTGCCCAAGACAACTCCTTCCTCTTTCAGAGACCAGCCCAGTCCTGACAGGAGGAGCAGCTGGAATGGCAACTGTCTTGCTAGAAGCTGTTGAGGTGTTTGCAGCCCTGTCCCCCCTTGCTGGAAGGGGTCTTTTCTCGCAGCAGCAAGGAGGCATGAGGGGTCAGGCCACAGTCCTGCAGGCTCTGGGAGTTGTCCGCGTACACCCTCTGGGGAAAGGTGCTGATGATCTCATATGACTCGGAGTCTCCACCCCTAGGAAAGAAAAGCCCAAATTTTCCCCTTTGGCGCAGGCTTATATGAGCTCAGCACAGGCCTGTAGGAGCCTGTGGAGCCCCGTGCAGGCCCATAAAAGCCTGTGGAGCTTGGCACGGGCCCATACAAGCTTGGGGCAGACCCGTGCAAGTCTGTGGGGGCCTGTACAAGTCAGTAGGGCCCAGTGCGGGCCTGAATGAGCTTGGCATGGGCTCATAGAGCCTGGCACGGGCCTGCACAAGCCCGTAGGCCCTGTTGCAGGCCCGTGCGGGCCTGTATGTGCTCAGCGCGGGCTCGTATGAGCCCATAGAGTCCCGTTCAGGCCTGTAGAAGCCTGTAAAGCCCAGCAATTTTCCTCTGCACAGGATCCCCCAAGGTTTTGCTCCAATGCTCTAGCTAATCCAGCTGCAGTTATGTAAGAGCAGAGCGGGGGAAACTGTTTTACAGTCACAGACCAAGCAGAAAAAGGGCTTCCTGTCTTAACTGCAAACAACGAGGCACAGAGCAGCTGCTTCAGCCTGCACAGCTGCAGCAGGGAAGGACACGCTTACATCCCAACAGTGATGAGCTCTTCATGGGCCTCAAACTGAGGCCAGGGCTACAGGCCACATCACGAGCTGGGCAAGGGGGAGAGCAAAAGGGTCCCCTCAGCAGCCTAGAACTGCCCCCACAAGGATTTGTGAGTCCTTGGGCAGCATTAAGTGCGTTAGGAGATAGAGCTGGCTGAGCCAAGGATGGTTTGTCCCACAGCTGATCTGTCACCCAGGCTGAAGGCTGCAGCTTAGTCTCCAGGCTGCACAAACACCTTGGGGAACACTGGCACTAGTCAGGTGAGTGCTGCTGAGCAGCTGGAAGGAAGTGCTGGAAGGCAGTGATGGAGCCAGGTGAGATGGGAATTTTGAGAGGACAAAAGAGACATATCTCTGCTGATAGGTCAGTTTTTTGGCAGAGGTGGGATGTTAAATGCTCTAGACTACCTGACAGTATTTCCTAGGGAGCACCTCTGCTATTAGGAAGAGCCAAAGGAGCAGAGGATGCCTGGCTCTTCCTGGCATCTGGGACTGTAAGGCTGAGCCCTGCTCAGCTCATGTTGATCTGCTTGAAACACAGCTCCAGGGCCGGGAACAGCAGCTGCGTAACCTTCCTGGGGGCTTGACAGAGTGGGGTAGAAAGCACAGAGGGGCGGAAGTCCTAGGCCTACCTGGTGTGGGTGAGGTGTTGGCGCAGGTCCCCTATGGTTTCTGTGAAGAGCATCTTTACAACGTATGTCTGCTCCCCGGTCTCAGATTTGATCCGGAGAGTGCAGATATCTGGGGCAGGAGGCTCAGCCTCTTCAGCTGTCTTCACCCTGGAGGTCAGAAAACCTTGTTAGCTGAGGAGCAAGGACTCTGCCACCATCAGATTGAAAGCTTTATTCAGTGGGTAGGGTTGAACAGATTCTGACATGCCAGGGCAATCCAAATAAAATGGGGGAGGCTGAAACAGGATCAGCACAGCCCTGTCTCACTGCAGGCAAACAGACCGACCCACAGACCAAGCTGTTACTTTGCTTTCACTGCTTAAGTGTTTTGCAAAGAAGGTTGCTGACCTTTTTTTGCTTTTTTTATTTTAGATTAGGGCTGTTGGGTAAGTACTTTGCTCTACTTTTTTGATTAAAATTAATCTGCTTGGGGTTTTTTCATTAGCTATTTGGGTCCTATCTTGCCCAGAAGACTGAGTGGAAAAGTGCTGTTTGTGTGACCCTCCGCTTGCTCATCAGTTTCCTGGAGGGATTCTCCTATTTAGCACGACGGCAAACAGCCAAACGGCTTCTTAGATGGTTTCAAACTCTTAGCCGTGGCTTGCTGTTGTGAAAAGTATTTACCTGTAAGTAAGTAATGTTTTGAACAACAGAAGCCTTTGTTAAAGATGTAAATGATAGCAGGCTCACCATAAAAAAAATTCGGCAGTCTTTCCCAAAAGACCTAGCTTGGTCTGTTTTTTATTTCTAAGGTGGAAGATAAAAGGAGTGAAAAGAGGCAAGTCCATTTACTCTCTCTGCTCAACTCCCTGAAAAAACCTGCAGTGACAAAACAGGAGGAAGATAAGAGCCTGATGTGGCAGAGACGGAGGGTCCATGCCTGTACCTCTTCAGGGCAGACAGCTTAGGTGTCTCCACTCGGATCACTTCACTGCTCTGCGCCCCATCAGAGCCCTGAAAGCAAATAGGTGAGTGTCAGCCACTGCAGGCTCTGCACAGAGACAAAGCAGTGCCAGAAAAGCCTGGGACTAGGTGACAAGATGCCACGTGCCCTGTGGTATAGCCTCTTTGGGGAGGAGGAGGTTATGCAGAGCTGACTGAGGCTCAAGGAGGAGGTGCTGCACAGGGTGCTGAGCCCCAGGAACCACAGCCAGACTCATGTTGTGGACAGGGCACAGGGCCCGCTCGTACCTGCAGCGTTGCTCTGATTGAGTCTCGGACAGCGATCGCTTGTCCTCCACGGATCAAGGACTTAGGGAGTTTGTTCAGAAACTGCTCCAGTGAGAGTTTGGGACCTGTCAGAGCAGAAGGGAAATGTATCCATGTGACACCTTTTTGACAAACAATTTTCCATCAGAATATGCTGATTTGGTGAAAAAAGAGACCAGAATAGCCAATAGGGAGAGCTCTAAGCTCCTCTAGCTATGCTGAGACTGGTTCTTCTTGGTCTCCATTGTTGAAGCTGTCCCACTTTCTGGTCCACTGAATGTCTGACTGTCAACAAAAGCAGTGAGTGACTGTGCAGCCTATTTAATACAGTACACAGCTGGGATGGGCAACTGGCAGGAACTGGTTAGCCCTGCTCTGAATGGGGAAAGCTGATGAAGCTATGGGAATTCTTACAAACTTGGAAAATTTCATCTTGTGAGGGTGTATTTGTAGGTATCAGTTCCCTTCGGTGTGGTGTCACTGAGCACTTATTTATTACCACTTGGATAAAAGAAACATTTAGCACAGCTTCTATTTGTGAATGTCCTTGAGATCAATAAGCAAGTAGTACAGTGTTTACATATATATAGGATGATGACATTGTTGCTGATGACTAATGCAAATGTACAGATTATGTGGTTATACATGCACAAAACTAATACTATTTTCTGTCTATATGACTGAATGCATTTTGCTTTCCAAACAATGACAGTATCTGGCAAGGTACTGCTTAAGCAGACTGCGGGAGTATAGAAGCAGAATGAGGAATCTGTGCCCTGACTATATATACCATATCCTCTCATGAAAGTTTGAAGAAGAACCATGCTGTTTTTGGAACAGTTAAGATGGGTCTGTTTAAAGATGTCTACCTTTACAAATGGAGCTTGTATGGGAACTGAAGGGGTGTTTGCAGGCTACTCTCCCCCATGTCTGCGTGGTTCCCTCAACATCTTTGGATGCTGATGATATAGGTGAAGCTAGAAGGAGCTGGGTCTTTCAGAACTGGGGGGGAGGAGTGTCAAGCATGTTTTGGGAAACCTGCTGATCTGGTCTTTTAAGGCTTGACATGCCTCATTCCTTAGGAAGATTTAGTGATAAAGAGGACACCTTGTGTACTGGCTGGCTCCCAGCTTTTGAAGCAACACTGGGGCTACAAGGGGGAGGGCTTTCACTCAGAAATGTTGTCTTCCTGAGACCCTACACGTTCATTTCTTGCTAGCTGGACCACCCTGGTAAGGTTTAGATTTTCCTCCTTGGGACTTGGCTGTGATTTTCCAGGCAGGTTTAAGAATTTACCTGGGATCTCGGTGGTTTCCTGCACCTCACTTGATTTTGAATGGCCAACCACTTGGCCATGGCCAGGAAAACTCCCTGGAAGGCATCTCTCCCGAAATACCACGTCCCTCTTGTCAGTGACCTGTTGAATGAAGGCTTTTTGCTATAAGCAAATCTGACTGCTGCCCTCAACCAGTTCTCATTGCATCAGAGCACAATAAAACACAGGAAGAACAACCAAGAGTTGTAAACCCTAAATGAAACTGAGAAAGCCAGTCCCTGTCAAGCTGGTCCGCCTATCAAAACTCAGTGAGATATGTTTTCAGCTCCTACAGGCTCTCAAAGTAAATTCTGGCTGCTTCCTGAAGTCCAGAACTCGTTGAAGGCCCGTGCAGACTCCAGAGTGGTCATTCATCCATCTCAACAGGCACGGGAAAGCTGCAAGAAATGTGCTTGGCCTGACCTTTCCCTCTGTGTCTTAGTTTCCACACTTGAACGTGCTCTCCAGGTGGAAAGTAATGTGTAAGCAGGTTGGGGGCGAAGAGGGATTTACTGCCAGACTCGCACTGCAGTTAGGCTCAGCCAGTGCTGCAGGAGAAGAGATGAGAGCTGGGGGGACTGCCAGAGCGCGCTCTCAAAACAAGGGAGAGTGCCAGTCTGAGGCCCCCCAGCAGCAGGGGAGAGGTGTATCTCTATCTCTAGGTATATCCCATCTCTAAAATAGGGACAGTCTTTCTGTTTGGGTTCTGTTTATGTCCCTTTTACACCCTCTGGCCAAATCAGAGTTGGATGAACTCTGTGTATGTACTTACCCCAGCCTACAGTACCGTTCTGTGGCTTCTAGTCCTGGTCAGCTGTGCAGGGCTTATAGGGAACCACAGACCCAACAGCCTTGCAACAGTTCTTCCTCTCTCACCTGACTTTCCAACCACCATACCTACTATCTCAGCTTGGCTGAAGTAATATTTGCCTATGCAGTTGTGGCCTGCGTTCTTCATGGCAGTAGGTAGGTGTACCCCTCTGGCTGGGCCTGCTCTTCCAGATACATTTGAAGACCTAGATTATAGTCCTGTGAGGCTCTTTCTCTTTGCCTGCTTTCTGCCTGAAAACATGGCCTTTTTTTTTTTTTTTTTTTTTTGCCATTTCTGAGAAATCAACAAATGGAGCCTAAAAAGGACCTCAGGTGGCCAAAGGCATTTAGATTATGGCAAAATCAACTTTTCCTACTTCCTTGTGAGACATTTGTCTGATCTGTTTTAAAACCTTTCCCAGTGGAACTGCTCGAGAAGTTTTTCTCCTTTTTGTTACACAGCTACTCGGATGCTGCACACACTGCTTCTCTTCTACAAAGCCTGTTATGCTCTCAGAAGTCTTGTTCCAAGCCACGATTCACGGAGGTAAAGAAAGCGTTCAGTCCCAATGCACAAATGGTCACTTATTTCCTGTAATGGCTCTAGCAGGTGTTGTTTCTAGCCACCCTTTTCCCAAGACACACGTGCAGGGAACTTAGCTGCTTGTAAGCTGTGTTCAGAAACCTCAGACTTCATTTGCTGTGGGGACGTTCTAGCAGATTGACAGTGGAAGAAACCTGAGCACTTTTCTTGGGGAGCAAAGAGAGCAATTTCTTTCAAAAAGCTGATGGAGAGAGCTTTGCACTGCCTACCTGTAAAGGAACACCATTGGGGTAGCGTGTCTGCAACTCTGAAGGGAAATAGCCATCCATGATATCCTGTAGGCATTGCTGAAACAAAGCATAAGAGCCTCATCACCATTCCTCATACTTTGTGTTTGTCTCATGACTAATAGATTCCTCCTGGGCTGCTCCTATTGGTGTTACTGCAGTGAAGAAAAGTCTGCATCGAAGACCTAGATTTCCCCATCTCTAAAAGTTACTGTACCAAGCAGGAAACAGTCTTTCAAGGCATCATGGGAGCATAAGGGCGAGGCTCGGAAGTCTCAATAGCTGCTCCTTTTTAGGACTGGGATGAGCTCACAAGCCCTATTCTTATTGCATTCTCTTCTGAGACTTGGTGGAGGAATACCACGATGGCTGTAAGTTGAGTTCCCCCACAAACTTCTCCGTACCTGTGTAGATGGTTCCTCGTAGGGCCGAAAGGGTCCATTGCACAGGATGATCCCATTTTGATACAGCATAAGAGGGAGGGCTTCTGGCTGTCTCAGTCGAGCACCCCCAGGCATGTGCTCGATTTGAGAAATGCCTTCCCCAGCCAGGGCATTCAAATCCTTCACGTTTTCCAAAATTAAGTCAAAATCAATCTGGTGTTTTGAAGCAACTGCTTCACCTGTGGCAGAAGGAGCTGAGTTATGAGGGGAAGGAGATGCCAACTAAGCAGTTTTCACCTCTGTGGGGACATATTCAAGGTGCATTTGAATTCTAATATTTTTTGGGGCTGTCTGCTGCCTTGCAAACGTTTCACCTTTCTCATGTTTGCAAAATGTGGTGCAGCAACACTGCTGCGGTGCGGTGCTGTGCTGCCAGGTTTACATGGGTGTGTACAAAACCACAAAGGCAGGGCAGCAGGGAAACAGTCCACTGGTTAAAAGCTGACAGTAACTCCACAGTCAGCTAAAGTCACAGCTAGCTGTTCTGTGACCATATTCAGATCCTTGTGTTTGCTTGTAATTTAATGAGTGTTGTCCCTTAACATGGTGCTGCAAAAATGCACAGAGGGAGTAACCTGTTGTCTAGATTGGGTAAATGGACCAGGCTGGACTTGCTGAGGAAATGCCAGTGTAAACACAGCTGTCTGTCTGCTCTCAGCCACCAGCAGATTTTTCTCTCAAAAGCAGTTCTCTCTCACGGAGGGAGATATTGCTGAGTATGTTTGTTTCGGTAGGGTGAAGCAGTAAAAGTGCTATGGGACAGAAGAATGAAATGAGAAGAGGAAATGAGAGTAGAGATGCAGGCAGAGGTGGGGCCCAGGGCCTTTGTTATTTTTCTGTTCTGCTTTTCAAAGATTTGGTAAAGAGGAGAGAAGAAAAGGGGTGGAGGAAATCAGTTAAAAAGGGGTAAGTGAACTGAAAATCAGGAAAATTATTTCTGCTACGTTCCCGATCCTATCTCCTCCTGCCTCTAAGGGAGGGGAAGATTAATTAGCCAGTATTTGCACAGTGTTCAGGAGGCAGCGTTGGCTGTAGAGCCCAAGTGTTATTGTTTTTTTTCCCATTAGCATTTCCTAGGAAGCTATTGCCAAATAGCCTTGGACTCCATACAGCACAATCAGGTCCCAATTAAACCACTCACATGGCTGAGGGGAGGAAAGGCAAACAATGCTCCCTGATGGAGCAAGACAATGTGGATAAGTTACTACAGCTACTATATACACAAAGCATCCGATTCCGTTTTCCACCCGTTTTACATCAGTCTTATTAGAGCAGAATCAAGCTTCAAACATTTAGGGGTACATCAACTCTTCAGAAAACAGCTGCTATGAGGGTATCCTTCCAAATGGTTGAGCTACCGGGTTTTCTCTTCTTCCCTCAAATGGTGTTTATAAAATATATGCATATAACATATCAACATTTGGCCTGGCCTAGCTTCTGTTATATTGTTCCATGTCTCTCGCCCTGAGGTGGGCTGATGCGAAGACCCCAGCACAGGATCACAAGTTCTAATGACCTGCTCATCTACTCTAGGAAGCATTGCACCTTCTCTAAGCATACAGCAAGAGCTAGGACAGCTGCTGCTTCAACAAAGCGCTGGCGCTTTACCTGGCTTCCAGAGGCTCCTTGCTGGCAGCTTTTCTTTATCCTTGAGTGATTCTGAATCTTCCAGCTGTTCATGACTCTCTCCAACCCAAATCAGACCATAGTCATTTAGAAACCGCTGTGTTAAGAAGAGGAGAACACAAGTCAGTATTGTAGGCCCAGAACCTCAGAAACTAGAACTGGAAGCCTGAGTGTATGCAGCTGTGACTGTGGGACACAGAAGGGGAGGTGAAAGTGAAGGAAGGCTCCTCGTACAGTTATTTAGCCCTGTCAGATAGACAAACTCACTGACGTAGTAGCAGCAGACTAAAGGCAGAATGAAACTATCCTTAGTGATATAGTAGTCTCCCAAAGCTCTGGTAGCGGCAAAGACGACAGCCCTAGAAATCAAAATGAGGCAGCTCAGAGGAGGCACAGACATTTGTGTATGAAAAACTACTAGCTCCCATCCAACCTATTTTTAATTTTCAGAGGGGTGAGGTAAAGATTTGTGACCATTAATCCAGCCGCTTGAGGAGAGTCAAGGAATGCAGGACTGGAAGAACTCAAGCCAAAGGTACAGATAGCTTAGAGTAAGCAAAGCAAGAGTCTCACCTCCATCTCCCAGACCTGGGTCTGCAGCTGAAGGCACCTCGTTTCCAGTTTCTCTGCTCTGGATGAGTCAGGAGCATCTGACAGGGAAGACTTGTTTTCCTATCCACAGCCTTAAAGAAGAGCTGCAGATAACCCATGTCATGCAGTGCAGATGCCCCAGCAACCTGCCTGCACCGTAAATGAACTTGAGCCCATAAGCCACAGGAGCTGAACATGAGCTCTACGTGCTGTCCCTGACAATTCAACTTGTAGCGCTCTGAAAAAGATGTGGAGAGACTAAAAGATACTTGTGAGTGATAATGGTGAGGTCTTATGCTGCAGTAAGCTGATGTGAATGGTGCTGTTAGCAATTACACAATGGGGATTGCTTGGCTTACTTGGTCTCAAGGGACCTACTCAAAAATCAGCAGGTGTCCACTAAAGCTGGATCCATAAAACCAGGCTGAATGGTTGGAGCAATGTATGATGAGGTACAAAACCCATGTGTCCTTTGACAGGTATATTCTTGTTCTCTGCTCAGGAAACGGAGAATCCGTCACATCTTTGTGCTAATAAGGTAGCTCGGCCATCATAGGAAATGCATCTGGGCTCAACTGGAGGGGGTTATTGGCTTCCAAGGAACTGAGTAGAGGAGCAAGAACTGCGGAGTGACTCACTCAAGGCTGGATTCAATTTGGAGCTAGGCTGTCTTGCAGGACAAGTGAACCTGGACCTGAAAGAACTGTTTGAGACTCCAAGTAGAACTTTGGTTTTGCTTAGCTGTGAGTAGCCCCGTTTTTCTAGTCTGTTTAAATTCCACGTTGCTTATTGTTCTTTTCTCTGACCAGTGTCAGGTACCTGTGTGGTTATTCTATGCTTATGGAAACTTAGTGACACAAAGAAATTGGGTCAGGAAATAATGTATTGTGCTGCACCAGAAAAGCAGAGTAACAGATGCACATATGAAGTAAGGATCTGCCTTGGTAAATGGCAGCGTGTGTGTATAACTGATTTAAGGCAAGGGCAGGTCAGAAGTGCTAGGTCTCCTGGTACTGCAAGAGAACAGGTTTGGAGCTCTGTGGCTCTCCCACAAGTAGGAGCAGGATGCCAAGAGCAGAGCAATTTTTACCTTCTCCTTTCTGAAGGGTCTTCATCTTCCCCTCAAGTTCAGCAATCTTCCTGTCCTTCAGAACCAGAAGAAATAATGACCATGTTTAGCTCCTCTACTTTCAGTACCTTAAGGTACAGTCTGCATAATCAGTCCTGGCTGAGTAAGTCAGTAGTGCACACACTCCCACCACACCCAGAGATAGGCAAAATAAGGGTTAGAAGGGCTGTTATCTCATCATAAATACCTTAATTAGACTCAAATGAAAAGTGGGATATAATTACACTGCTCCAAGAATAGATAAGGGACATGCTGACCTACCTACCCCCTCCTTGTCCATCTGTGCAAGAGCTGTAGGATATATGGGCCCATGCCCTTGTGCTCCCTTAGGCACAGTTCATAGTCTGACCCGCAGTAAGTGACAAATCTAGAAACTGAACCAGCATCTCTGTAGTCATAACTTTAAAAATGCTATTTATTCTAAACTGCAGTTAGGCGAAGAGGCCTGTTCAGGGATAACCTTGCCACCTGAGCAGCTGCTGTTTCAGAAAGCAAAGGGAAGAAAAGTCTGAAGCCAAACAGCTAAAGATATTAGGGAAAGTGTGCTGAGATTCATTTCTTAAAGCCATAGCAGGCTCCGCATAATGGACTGTCACGTCGCCCGGCCCAAGGACAGATGACTGCTCTGTTGGGTTGTTTCTGTAGTTAACGGAGCAGACTACAGATTAACTTATTTTAGCTCAAACTAGGTCTGAGCAGGTATATCGCTACTGTGGCTTGAATTGTTAAAGTAGGACACAGAACAGGCCCTATAAGGGCCAGGATTTTTACCTTCAATTGGATTTCCTGTGCTTGTTTCTTTACGTTTTGTTCCAACAGAGCAATTTTTTGCATCATGGAGGAGATGAGCTCCATGTCAGTGGGAGCTGCACCTGAAAGCACAAATGCAATGTATTGTATGCACAAATGCCCCTTTAAAACAGCAATCAGTATCGCAGGCTTATTTTCACTGTAGGGCATCTTATGCTCAATGCGTTGCCGTATTTTCTGAGTAGAAGACCCCCACACAAGAACTTGTGTTCTGCCACAGCAAGTAGGGCAAGGGGTCCTTTGTGGGTACTGTGTATAAATCCCTTGGCTCCTGACTGATGAGGAGAGGGCTGTGCCACCAACGGCATGCTGTGTAAGGTGCTGATGTACGTTAGGGGAGGACCACCTGAACCAGCCCTGGTCTGGGGTGTTGAGTCCACCCATGTCACTGAGAAACTGATGGCTTGGCTTCCTCTAATCCTTGAGATATTACCCTGCATATTCTTTTTCAGTGCTGTCCCTGTTGAGCAAGAAGGTAGACTGCCTTGCACTGGATTCTTTGTCCTAGGAGAGAGGCTGTCATCTTCTGAGAAGAAGCATAAAAAGCATGAAAGAAAGAAAACAGGTCAGCATTTCGGACACAACTTCACCGGTACCAGGTAAAGAACACATAGGGGTTACGCTGAGGAAAAGAGAGGGCAGAGGAAAGTAGAGAGGCCCAGTCCACTCCCTCTCATAAACACTTGCAAAATAATGAGTGTATGAGGGCACTTATTTTATAACACAAGACCCAAGGGAAGGTACAATCTAAGCAGTTGAGAAGAGTGAATACAAAATAGGGCTGCCAAAAAGAGACGATGATGCTAATTTAGAGCATTCTGCATTGCACAGTAAGGAAGACCAGTGGTAGATTTGAGCTGTTTTAACAAGAGTACAACAGTCTGGGACTAACTCTTGTGGATCTCACAAATTTCACCAAGAGAGAAAAGATATTTTTTGCTCTAAGATCAAGAAATAGGAAGGATATTTCTTAAAATGGAACTGTAAAACGAGATGAAGCTAAATGAAACTAGGTAAGTGTTCTAGGGCTTGCTGAGGATGTGGAAGCCATTTGTAACTTATCTGGTTTTGAACATATGTGAGAGAGAGAAAAATGGAGGACAGGAAGAGAGCTATAAGCCACGCAAAACACACAGGATGTTAAGAAAAGCCTTACCAGTGGAAGCAATGTCCTTAGATAGCTCTGTTGTTTTTATATATTCTCTCCTCTTATTTTTAGAAAAACAACAGGCAGATTAATTCAGTAACTGTTGGAGGACTTGCTTGATGGGCAAATTTTCAAAATGTAATTGCAGACTGTCCCAAAAAGCCCATACTGTACATTTTCTCATCAGCCCATCTTCCCAGTCCACATTGCCTGCTTTCTGGGCTGAGTGGGTTCACACACAAACAGCTAAATCTGTGCCTTGTAGCAGCAGCTGAAATCCTTGAGTTGCAATATGTGTTAACTGTCTGAGATGAGAGAAAGGTGAAAACGATATGCCCGTGCTATGCAGCCAGTGTTAACTGCTTCAGTCTAGGAAAATGATATCGCTTGTAATACCATTGCAGTTGCATTAAGCAACACTAATCTGCTTGAGACTGAGAAAACATAAACATGATATGGACCTGTGCTAGACGTGACTGTCCAATATTCCTAGTACCACCTGGGGATCAGTGTGAGCCAGAAGGCAACAGAATTGGCAGTTTGGGGAATTTATTCTAGTTAGTACCGTTGATGAGACTGTTATTGTTAGGCCCAGTACTAAACTGCAGTGCCCCATACTGCAAAACCAAAATGAAATCCAAATAAGAATAAATACCTCTGTATTGACTGAGTTCATAGAAAGCTGATAGCGATCAACTTTTTGAAGGATCATAGACAACAAGAGACAGCCGGTGGGGTGACACTCTGCTGGTCTCCACATAATTATCATTGGTCCTTTGATTATAGCCTGGTATCAAATAAACTAAAACAACACGACTCAAGAACGAAGACGTGTTAATTTGATTTACCCTGGAGTGCAAAGCCGCAGCAGGAGTTTAGGCTTTAGCTGCTCTCCCAGGGAGGGAGGAGGAGAAGTCATGATTTAAACGTTAGACGGCCTCAGACTCTGGGGAACGAAGACAGCGTTACCTTCCCGAGATGCGCAAGGGACGGAGGGTGCTGCAGCAGGGGAGGCAACACCGAGGGGAGCAGGTACCGCTCGACGTAGCCGGCTGCCGCCCGGCCGCGAGGGTCCCTTCGGGGCAGCTCAGAGCGCGTCCTTTCGTCCTCCCAAAGCCG